TCATATGGTAATCAGCAAAATCTACAAGATCCAAAAATAAATTAAAAGTGCAGGAAACAGATGATCATGAGCAACAACTTCGTGTAATTAAAAAATATAAGATGTTAGAAGTAAGTCATAGCATTTTAATATTTATTTGGAAAATCATTTTTATATTAAAGTTAATATTCAATATTTGGATCATATTCATAACACATAAAGTTTTTTTTGTGAATCAACTATATTCAAGGAACAACAAAATACCCCTGGAAATTAAACATCAAAAGAAAACAAATCATTGTAATTGAGAAACTAAATTATCATATAAAGAGTGATAATCTTGGAAAACTTGCTTTCAATAATCCCTTTTTATCATGTGTTATTGATCTTGATTATATAAGCAAATTACTTGTTAACATATTTTCTAGAGAAGAACTTGAATGTATGAACATTTGTGAAAAGATGAGATCATGGAAAACCATAGAAAATGTTCTTAAATTATGGATTAAGCAATTATCAGAATTAGGACAATCAACTTCCTATCCAGATATCCCAAGCAATTTATCCAAAGAAGAAAAGAAGTATTTCTCTATATTTTAGAGATGTTTAAAAAATTGTGAGTTTTGACTATCATTGGTTCTGTTGATTTTTTTATAATCAAGAGAAAACTTTGTATATAACATTCAATACAATAAATTTATATAATTAAGGCAATCAATTTGGAAAATTAGAAGATATGACAATAAATTAAATGGTGATTCAGAAATCTTGGAAAATACATTTATTCATGAAATTATGCATGATATAATCAGGGTTGGCAAATGTGCAGTCCATTGATGGTCTATTGGTGGTCCATTGGGTCCATTAGTGTAACACTTTGACCATATTTAGTATTTTATTAATTGCAATGGACCATCCAAAATCCATCTGGTCTCAATGGACCAGTCAATTTGCCAACCCTGTGATATAATATATGAAACTGTTCAAAAGTGTAGTTCTCGTATCAGGATTGACTGGTAAAAAAATTTTCATTAAATTTTAAAATTGTGAACACTTATTGAATAACCTGCAATATTTTTAGGGATACAAAAATGTGTGATGAAGGGAATGAAAACATAAGGTTTGATTACGATTTGTGGATCTTAAATATGTCAGATAAAGAAAAAAAAGCACACCGAAATAAGTTTAAATCAAAATTGAAGCCTGATTGGATTTCGTCATTTCTCATCAATGAAACTAAATTTGAATTTATATATGGAGAGGCAACTGGTCCTCCATTTTTACAAGATCAAATAAAAATTGAACAAGATAGAAGAAAGTTAATATGATACTTAAGAAAATGTAATAAATCAGTGAAGAGCAAATTAAATATGCATATGTCTTTAGTTGTTGATGATAACTTGATCAATAAAATAAAGAGTATTCCAAGATTTGGAATGTTGTTACATGGTAATTATTTTTATTTTTATAGTTAGCTTTTTCATCTGTATTTTTGGAGCCTACTAATATTGTAACAATCTTTAATCTTGATTGATCGGTAAAATAATTCTAGTCGAAATTAGGTAATTAATCCATACCATATTTGGTAATGTAGAAAAATTCGTTTACTAATTTGGCAATCGGGATTATTGCGTTTTACTTCGAAGAATTATGAATATTATTTTTCCTTGAATTATTGATATTTTTATTAGGAGTTTTGGCGATGGTGTATAATGATTATTATTATATTATTATTTTTATTATATTATATTTATTATGAATGTTATCTTTTAAGATTAATACTTTCCGGGAAGTCTATAAGCTTCCATACAAT